CCTTATTTAAATGATCAATTGATAGACTTGACATCTACTTATTACGAATCTAAGTAAAAAAAATATATTTTAATCGAAAAATACAAATTTACCTCATATACAATCGCATTCGGTTGCCTTGAGATTCGCATCCATATTTGTGCATCAAAGTGGCAACTTTGTCACGGCTTGCAAGGCAGAGTATTGAATCCGATTTCGGCCGCCTTTGAGGCCCAGGAGAGGACAAAATTGCAGTGCAAGCAGCATAAAAAAGCTTGTTGGTCAACAGGACTATCAATACTTCAGTGGCGTATATGTCGGATACTCACTTTAGAATGGGTAAGTTATTATCCTAACCTTAACCACCTTGGCTCCCATAGATTTTTATTAAAGTTCAACTGATGATTTCAAGGCCTACTGACTTGGTTAAGGGATGGAAATACGCTTGACTGGATGCACACAATTAAATTAGGCTCTGGCGACAGGGAGAAGAGGCACTAGAAGGAGTGTAGCTCAGAAAATAGTAGAAATTTGACTCAAATTAGATGCAAGTGTATGTATGAACTAGTTCAAGCTTTGTTAAGTCTAACACTTTACGTTAGGTATTATTAAAAACTTTTGCGAAATATGCATGCCCTCAAGGAGACTCTTCTTTTGTCTTCAAACCAAAGCCACGCATGTGCGTTTGCCTGACCCTCCTTTCATCAGCTAGTCCCCTTAACTTGTCTCCAGACGGAGGCGATGTCTGTCTCGGCCACCTGCGCCCCTCCTCATCGGCTCTGTCACCTTATTCTGGCATGGTTACATCAGGTTTCCCATCATCGTCGTCACCACAACTAGCCTCAACATTACCGTCCCCCCATCCTCCCTCCTCCTGCATGGCTTCCTTGCAGCAAAGCATGTCCACATGACCCTGAAGTGTTGATCAAACCCTATGGTTTATCACACACGTCTATTGCTTAGCTTACTGGCAGGACTCGCAGAAGCGCCTTGTTGTGCGGAGGGGAGGGGAGCAAAGGCAGATGGTCCTAGAAATGTCTGGAATGGAAGGGCAATCTGTAGGCATGTTAGCATACGAGACAAGACGGTTTATTATAAGCCCTCTCCGCCTGGGTGCTCTCTCCGCCTGGTTGCCCAACTCCATCCTCGTCTGACCCTTTCTATGCACAAGTCCATTAGGGTTTGTAGATGCGGCCTTATTTCCTTGTCTGTGTATGGATGCATATGTACTTGTACGTGTGCACTCAACCGGGATTATCCGTAGGTAAATCGTTGGCTGACCGAGTGTTTTGATTTGCTCGTGTGTGTTCCCTCCAAACATGGCATGTATACATTTGGCCATTCCATGAAGAAAATGGGTGGATTTTTAGGTAACGCAAGAGCCGACTAGACACTTACAGAAGTGGCTTCATTCAAAGGCATGTTGAGTGCCCTCTCATGCATTAGACTGTCCTCCAAAACTCTCCCCCCGTCATCAGGACATAAGAAAACAATTTTATTTCACACCTTCATTGTTTCCACGTGTAGGGCAAGAAATCATCACGTACTAGGCGGGGCTATGATTATGAGGCTAAATAATAAGGAAAGTGCGAAAATGCGACTTTTTTTATGGAGTTGAAAAGAAGTAAACTTTAAATTGACGCAAAAATTATAAGAAAATCATTTATGTTGAAGGAAACAGAAGGTTGATTATTGTTGATGCTTCCAGGTTCGGACAGGTTTCTACTGGACTAAGCAAGTTTGTCGAGTTTACTGGCGAACCCACCACACTCCAGCCCTTTTGAATACATGAGCAAGTCAACTTTAATGCCGAAATAAGGCAAACTATAACAATCATTTTAGCCTTAAAATAAGTATCCATCTC